GCTCTGTAAGTGGTGGATGTGAGATTAACAGTATTATAGGCAGCATAATTCCATGTATGCCGTGAGAGGAACTTTACCTTACATGTGATGGCAGATCAATAAAGGCAGTGTCAGCAGGGGGCAAGTTCTGAGTTTGATGAAACTTGTCATACAGGCGTTGAACATCACCTAAAGAAAAATAAATAAAAATCATTTTTATCTTACAACTAGACAAACTTTTAATAATTGCAGTGAAGCAGTAGCCAATATTTAAGTGGCTAAAATGCAAATGTGAAACTCACAATGATGGCCATATTTATCTAAAAGAGATACTCAATTGATGCTGATTTGCCGAGGAAGTTTCTGCTCAGGATCATATCATATTCTGCTGTTGCATATTTCTGTAACAATTATAGTAGCAGAGAATTGTTGAGAATCTTCCTATGCAAAACCATATTTTTTGTCCATCATTTGCATGTATTGGTATATGGGTTATACAACCATGGACAAAACAGTGTGTTCAACCCATGTAATACATAAGCTATCACTACTGTATTCATGCTTTGTAATTTACCGCTATCTCCCATCATGATACACACACACGACAAATGTTTCTAGTGTGAGCAAGCACAAGAAACAGTCAAAGCTAATCTGTGCTCCTTTCCATGGCACATCAAATATACATACCAATAAGATAAGCACAGTGTTGTTGGTGTACACAAACCACTCCATACATCAACTGTGATGATAAGTATAATGAAAATCGAGGCATGTTTCTTTTTTCTTTTGATGGCTGCACGTTAATTACTTTGACAATATCGGTACTGAAAAACAATTATATATATATTATATGAGGTTACTAAGAGGATACTGCAAAGTATACATGAAGACAGTACATCGGGAATATTGACCAACACGTTGAGGAAGTCGATGCATCTGCATACTGTCTGAGTGCATACTTTGCAGTATCCTCGTAATACCCTTATTATTATACATCTTTTCTTCCTATGAATACACCATGGGAATGCCGAAATCCAAAAAGTTTAGAACAGATTTAGCGAACTTCTTTGTGTGGAGTCCGGTCAAACCGTGGAGGCAACTATGTTTGTTTTTATTATTAGAGGACGCTTACATGCGTAATCATTCCATATTTGGAATTTGTGTTTCCTTATATGGTAGAATGAAAATACCCAGTGCAAGACCGCAAAATTACGGCATGTCGTAATTATGGCGTTACAGTGACAGATGTAAAATAATGAATATTATTGAAAGCAAAAGCGAATATTATTGAAACAGATTGCACATTTATGACACGGTCACAATCACTCTCTGTTAACACATCACCAGTGTCAACAAATCAAAACAATTTAAAATAATTTTAATAAATTTCTGAATAAAAATCATAAACATTTTCCAAAAATAACAGTTTTATGATTTTGTTCAGTTTTACTTGTAAGCATATGTAGCACTAAATTATTATTTCAAACCAGAGTCCAATATTTCTCAAATATAAAATCCAATTAATCTCATGTATTTTTTTACCATGTTCTTCTAATGTTCACTTTACTGTAGTCTTTTCTATGGAGCTTTGCTGCCTTTGTTGCTGCAAGCCTACAAAAAAAACAGGTATTAAATTCAGTGGATTTGTTAACTTTTTAAAGTAGAAAGTTATGCCCATCCGTAACCAAAGTTCTACAAAAGACCCCATAATTTGAAAATCATCTTTTATTTGTATGTTTTTCTTGTTCGACCACAGATAATGCATTGAATTGTTATATCAAATAAAATAAAATACGTTGATTCTATTCATCTTGATAGATCCTAGTATCGTCTGTACACGTCACAGATCACACAACCAAACCAGACTGATTCTATTATATATCGAGTATTTTCCATATTCCTCCATTCAAAAATTGTCAAGACATATTTTGTCATCATTCATGAGTTAGATCCTTATTGTGACACATTGCGTTCCATTTGTCCATTTGTACGAGATCTCGTTCTATATTCAGTCACACACATGTAATACGAAATGCACGTGTATCGTAATAGCTAGCCCTGGGTACAGTCCTATACGTTGGCTTCCTTCCACTGATCATTCGGCCCAGTCCTGAGAAGTCGTAGAACCGCCTGTGTGTAGAACGTGTAAGAGGCCATCCTACAGGACTCGGCGCTACGTAATAGTAAATCAGTACACAGTCACTAGTAACAAGACTTCCTACATAACTTACCAAACAACTCCGAACTTCCCTCTCCGTTCCAAAATGTCGTATGAATAAAACATTTCAGCATCAGCAAGTTACTAGACTGAGAAATCAAAGGAAATCATGAAGCTGCTTGTGTTTATTTTACACGTATGTGAAAACCCAATGTAGTTCAAGAACGAAAGCAATGTCGTAGAAATTAGAATACACGGGTCTCAAGTTTATCAACGATCAACGATCTGTTATGTCACCCCTTTTGGTTTACATACTTGATACATTTTACGTTCTTCCAGGTGAAGTTACTCTTCTTTATGTTCTAACATTTCGTAAGGCGAGGAACTAGCCCAATACAATCGCACTTGGGACACAGAGTAAAAACAATAGGCCAAGTTGCCAAACATGAATGTATGGGGGTCTTGTGAATCAAAGCCACCATCTATCCTATTTTTACAACTACGTAGTTCAATACTGATACTTGGTCTTACCTGTTACGATAAGTATAATTCATAAACGGCGAAGAAAAAAATCAGCGCCGACGAAGTGTTGAATCCCAGATATGTTGTAAGCAACCGGTACGCGGAGCGTAACTTATCAATCAAATATGCAAATTAAGGACGCGTTTTCAAACTTCTCACCAATGACAGACAATCTTACAAAACGTTCGAAATGGCGACCAATCCCCGACAACTTCTCTACTTGTAGAGCTTTTTCTTCGCGGGAAAAATTTCCCGCGGTTTGGACAGTCTGTATCGTCAGATCGCCCAACTGATATGGTTGTGGTGACGTGCTGGTTTGAACGCCGATGGGAATGGCGACGAAATATCTGAATTACGGCTGATAACATTGTAATTACATGGGATAGATTACATTTGCGGTGTACTGGGTAAAAACGCATACAATACTCATCAGTCGCAATCTTGTCTTGCCCCTCCATGATACGATTAATATAATAGTCGTGTGATGGCGCACTTCCACATCACAAGTTTACGAAATTTAAATGTAGGCTTCTCGTATTCAGAGCAAAGGGTAACATTATTTGCTTGAGCACTTTTGACAATGGTACCACAAATGAGATAAACAAACATCATTGCCTATCAATAATCATGACTAATGTTTTTTAATGTAACTTGTAAGAACAAGCAATTTGAATCGCAATTATTTTTCACTCGTCGCAAGGTTTCGTAATCCCTTCTCTCCACTAAATATGGAGGCACTTGACTGGCAAATTATACCTTGAATTTTAAAAAAACAAAAACATGATGAATGTACAAAAGTAAAAACAGAAATCTTGGGCATGTTATCCTTGCAAAACCAAATAGTCAATATCATCCTGAAAAAAAAACACATCCATCTTGTCTCTCTGAGTTTATAATGGTCAACCTCTAAATTCAGGCCATGCTTTGTTTGTGAAAGTGTATGTATTAATTTACACAAATAAATATTGGCTGTACCATACTTTTTGATCCAACTGTTTTCAAGTGATCTTTGGGCATACCCTGGGGGTATGACACATTACTTTCCTTATGTGTTACCGTTGTAGTGCACTTTATTACTTTTGTTGTTCAGCATCACACGGTTAAAGGGCGGTGGTCGTCGCGTCACGCATGTGCGACATTTGTGTTGCTAAACATTGATTTCTCCACAACCCAATGCGCTCTTCTAATGACAATCACAAATATGAGGTTTGACCTGGCGCAACTTGCACTGATTACCGCCGGTGACCTTTGATGCCTTCCAATCACCTAAAAATACCCAATTAAGGCTTGGTAACGTTTCACTTTGTACTTGTTGATTTGCACAAATTTGCCCAAAAAAAATAATTTTCTCACAGTGAAAGATGGAGAGAACCGCTGTCACCTACTCTAGTGACACCCTTTGTGTTAGCTTAGAACGCAGTCTGACAGAGTAAAACCCTGGAAGATACTTTACACCAGCCCTCCATGTCTAGATACTCTCCATTCTATACACACTGGGAAAGAATGTTTTTTATGGAAACTTATAAAACATGATATACCCATAGAGACCCTCACATTAAATTCAAAATCTTTCATTGGATATGGAAAGCAATTGGTTACGCCAGTACCCACTAGTCATTATCCAGGTTTTCTTCAAACAATGGTCGATTCAACGCCATGCACGCTAAAACTATTTATCAGAGTGCATCGACTAAGGTTTTCAACTTTCATTTTTATATAAAAAAAAATATTCATTCCTATATGAAACAGGGTACATGACATTAAATTAAATTAAATGAATACAAGCATATCTTTGTGTCAAAAATAAAATCTTGTTAATGGATGACGTTCAATGTGACATGCCAAAAGACCCTTGCACATTGTGGCCATAAAGCTAAGGTCCCTCCTTTCAAGATACATGCACAAAACAAGCAAGCAAGCAAAACGTTGACATCAAAATATTTTATTCACAAGATGACATGTGGTTGCACATCGTGTAAAGTAGCAATTTAACAATAAGAACAATGCAGGAAATGTTCACAACGAACGGAATTGAACGCATATCAAGATGTCATCAACCCAGTAGATTTTACAGAGTAATCAAATGCATAAGACCAACATAGAACTGGAACATATAAACCAAGAGACAAGACAAAGAAACGCTAGTGATGTATTAAATTACAATCTAGTCCATTCTCTATTTGAGTAGCACTTGCTTAATTGCAGACAGACATTCACAAAGAAACTCGATTGGCTCAAAATGAGGTCACTTGCATACATTACCATATCATTACTATTTAAATGTGATTGGATCAGCCAAGATGAGGTCACTTACATACTCATTACCATATCATTACTAACTAAAGGTGATTGGATCAGTCAAATGTGGTCACTTGCATACATTACCATATAATTAGTAATTCATGGTGTAGTGAACTCAAATAGGAAATGTAACTGAATCAATGGAAGTGACAACACAATGTAAGGCGTTGTCAATAACGATAATACACTACCAAAGCATCAAAATATTCTGCTATTTTTGGAATGAAAAGTGCAAAACAAGATTTCAATATTCTTGACAGACTGCTAAGTACTTGTGACATTTCCACAGTTTTACTGCACATTACCATGAGAAAGTACAATGCATATAGCATAATTGGACAGAGTGGTTTAAGCTAGCCCAAACTCTGTGCATGTTACAAGAATAGTGAGTGCAGGATTGTAATACAGCTTTGACTCAAGGCTAGTTTAATTAATGCATACAAATAATATATACATCACAATTAATAATGAACTACAGTATACAAAATATACAATTTTCTTGTTTTCATTTATTTAATACATATTTTAAAGATAATCTTATTTTGAGTCACTCAACATTATTCAAGTTTGTTATCCCTACTGACATCATGGCAGAGTTAATAATATAAAATAAAAAATTAACCTCCAAGTACCTTAGAGTAGTTTTCCAAGGTATAATGATTGCAGATATCTAGTATGTTCATTCCCAGTTGTAGAAAACATATTTTTAGTTTTTTTAGAAATGAATTTTAATTTTAAGGAGAGAATTTAAATTAGAGTTCAAACTAAACATGCCCAAAAGCGTTTTTTTTTTTGTAATACAGCCAGAATACAAGGTCAAGCACCATCCCAGATGAATCCTGATGCAAAGTAATTTGTGTCTGAGTCAGCCAGCGAGGGCGCAATAAACAGCCTGTCACCTGACATGTACTAGTACATCACTGGCTCAAATAATCATAGGACTAATAAGAAATTTGGTAGACCCCATAATTGGTAAGTTTGGACAACAATTCTCCAATTGCACAACTATATCACAAGTTTAACTTGAAAGAAATTTTGTAATAATTCTATACACTACGCAAATGACTCTATAAACACTAATTTTAAATAACATGACATAGTGATTCAATTTTACAAAATTCTACAAGGAAAATAGAGCAGTATTTATAAGAATTTTAACGAGATATTAATCGTATATAAGTATACCAATTCAATAGTACAATAGATCCAAAGCACTATGTGATTACTTCTATAAGCCTACATAACAGGATCACAAAACTGAATACAATAAAATTATTATATATAGTATAATTACCATAGTTAAAGGGTGGTCACCGTAGTTATGCAGTGGCGTGTAAATTGTATTTAACACACATTGTATACGGTGTATGGGACTCGTATCAAACACGGTGTTTTACGATTTAAGTGGTTAAACCCATTATATAAACATAATTCATGCATTCCATAATAGAGCTCTGTGATTGGAGCATTTTGACAACACATGTAATCGATAATTCCAACAGAAAAATTTGAGAAACATTAATAAATTATTATTTAATCATCGGGCAACTTTTTTTTTTTGATTTTTGATCAAACATTATATTGTTCATTTCCCTTTAGCAATTCAACGGACTGGAAGAAATTACAGCCACATTCACCCGTCTGTTTTTCCTTTTTGATAAGAAATAAAACCAGTTATACCTTCTAGGTTAGGTTTTCATGCGTTTTCTCAAATACTGATACCTCCATTGGCATCTACAATCATGTACCCCTAACCAATAATACACCCACTCAAAATAAATAATTTAAATTTGACAATTCAGTCACCTCAAAAATAAATCATAAAAATGATTATTTGTGTATGATTCTATTAATGAAAGAATTACGATAAATCTGTTACCATTATTACACCACCTGATATTTCCCACCACTTTTAGCATTAAAGGGAGTCTTCACAGAAAACATTCAAGTGTTCAACATACGTAAGTCATCAATGTTGTATGATGTAAACTGTTCCACTAGTGAAATAGTAACTAATACAAAATTTCGAGATTTCATCTGGTTTACAATAGTTTGTTTGTTCTGTTAAAATTCAATATTGAAGGGCGGCTTCGTCTATCATATAGGTCTCTTAGCAATATATACGTTTGTTTACATGAAATTTGAACATATGCAGCGTACCAACCAGGGCTCTTTAATGTAAAACCCTTAGATTCTGGTTGTCCAAAAAACCCGGAACTGGAACGTGAAATTAAAAATATTTGGGCGTACATGTAGTTTAATATAAGTGATATTGCATTAATGGACTTAGTTTGTATATTATTAATATTATTTATTTTATTATAATCGCAATTTGTAGTTGTATGTACAGTCAATCTAATAATGTGGATGAAATAATAGGCAGAAAGCGCATGTTTACGATGTTTCTGCTAGAGGGCGCACTTCACGTCTTGGGTCGGTGTGTTACGTCCTTGTTGCTTCCAAATATTTTTAATTTCACGTTTCAGTTCCGGATCCGCTTCTGGATTTTTTAAACAACCTTAGATTCTTGTGACTATATATTTATGTACTTTGATGATTACAGGGTATCCATAACAACGAAGTCTCACAAAAGTTACTGTGACTCCTCGTCTTAACAAGTAAATAAGTTCATTGCAACAAAATTTTGTGATTTTTTGCAAAATTCATAAAATGGTGTACAGTAGTATTTCACAACTTCTACAATAGCG